TGTGGGGCCTGACTTTCCGTGTGGCCGAGCGGCCGGGAGGTCTCCTCGGGGGAGGACTGCGGGCCCCTCTGGAGATCGGGGACCTGCTGGGAAGGGCGGGTGTCTGAGAGCATTGTCAGACTTGGTGGGCAAGAGATGCGGAGGGCGCTTTGAGCATCAGCTGCTGCTGTAGCTGTGACCAGAATTCGAGTTGTGTCAGACAGGGTAAAGGGCAGCTGTTCTCAGCACTGCTGAGCTTGTCTTTGCTCTGCCTTTCCAGGCATTACCGTTCTGTCCATGTGGAAACACCTTCCTACACGGGGGGTGTCAGCGAGGAGTTCTGGGAGCGCAGCCGGCAGCGGGAAAGGGAGCGTCGGGAACACGGTGTCTTTGCCTCCTCCAAGGAGGAGAAAGAACGGAAGAAGGAACGCAGCAGAGATCGGGACCATGATCGTAAACGGGACCGTGGTAACTGCTCAGGGACCTTGGCTACTCTTCCTGCTTAGAGTTTGGGCATGTCTCTCTATCTGTCTGTAGTCCTCAGCTGATGGTGGTGGCTTGGGAAGCCCGTTTGTGTGCTGGGCACCTGATCTCACTTTCTTTTTGCAGAGGAGCGGGACAGAAGTCGTCACAGCACCAGGTCAGAGAGAGATGGCTCATCGGAGCGGAGCAGCAGGAGGAGCGAACCGGAGAGTCCCAGACATCGGCCCAAAGGTAGGAGTGGGACTCAGCAGAGGTCTCATGTGAGACCAATCAGGAAGGGGCTTCTTTTTTTTTTTGTTTCCTGCAGCTTTTGTCAGGGCAAGCGTAGGTAGGAGAACCTGTATCTTTTAATGTTTGTGGTTAGGGCTAGCAGCATAAAACTTGTAGCTTGACCTGGGTCTGGGAGCAATCTGCCAGCTGTGTGTGTGAAAATCTGGCTGACCTGTGCTCAGTGGTATCTATTCTGGATCTGTGTGTTAGAGATACAGTCCTTTGGCAGTTTTCCTTGGAATCACTGGATCAGCCCCTTCTCTTTGAGGGAGGGCAAATGGGAAGCTCCTCTCTGTTCTCCTTGCTAGAAGGTGTAAGGTGGCTCCAGGCCTGAGGTCACTGTTGGAACATCAGATGTTAAACCTCCTCTTCTCTGCTAGATGCAGCTACGCCGTCTCGCTCCAGCTGGGAGGAAGATGATAGTGGCTACAGCAGTGCCCGCCTCTCACAGTGGGAATCTCCCTCACCCGTGCCTTCCTATCGAGACTCAGAGCGCAGCCACCGGGCATCCTCGCTGCGGGACACAGACCGGAGAGACCGGGACAGGTATCAGTGCCTGGGGCTGTGGCTGTGAGCTACCGAGCTGCAGAAAGAGGGGAGTGTGTGTAAGAGTAGCGCCCAGCTGCGGGCACTGATTCGTCCCTGGTGCTGTCTGCTCAGGTCTGTGAGGAGCAGGTACTCGGACAAGACGCCGTTGCCCACCCCGTCGTACAAATACAACGAGTGGGCTGACGACCGGAGACACCTGGGGTCCACGCCACGGCTCTCCAGAGGAAGAGGTGAGGAGCCTGGGCTGAGCGGCCCAGGGTGGG